AAAAAATGACATTTACTTTCACCACTAGTTGGCGCTCTCACTATTACTGAATATTATCACATAGACGTGTTTAGGGTGGGACTCAGACATCAGACATGTGAAGTTTCATTGAGATGGGATCATGTACGCAGAAGTTATGACAAATCCCTCTTTTATGGTGAGTCGTTGAAATTCAACTTCGCCCGGTCATTGCTCGGGCCCTAAATACAAACTCCGCCCCAAACAGGCAGAAAACTTCAGCGTCTTCATGAGCCAGTTCCAGTTGTATTTTGTTGGGCCATTCATTAAGAAATCTGGGTAAATGTTTGCACGAGTTCGAGAGTATAATGTCATATTTTGTAGTGCAGACTTATAACATTAATTAAGGTACTGCTTTGTCAAAACTAAACAGAGTTCTCAGTCCCAGGTTGTCAAATATGGCCTCTAGCATCATTTCTGTACGCGCCCTGCTGGTGCGATGCTTTGATGTGGCGTTGAAGTCTGTTGATGTAGTATAGAGAGCAAGTCTGCATATGGAGGAGGCTGGGGTGGACGGTTGGGTCAAACAAACACAGGACCCAGGAGACCGCTGTTTGTATTCCACATGAAACTAAAAGTCAATGTTGACTTCTTTTTACCTGACGTTACTTATTTACATTACTTTACATGTTACATACTTACTTTAACCCAAACCAAACAAACACAGCACTCTCACCCAGGAGGCTACTGTTCGTGTCTCATGTGAAACCAAAAGTCAACATTGACTTCTTTTTAACTTACGTTACTTATGCTTAATGCAAAATGCTAGACGCTACCAACGGCATTGTAATTTGTAGCTGTAGTAGTTGTTTCTTTGCTGTAGTGAGTTATACACATGTTTTCAGTTTTCAGTTTTGTTCTGCACTTAAGGCTGCTGAAAAATAGCCCATGGACTCCTTGGCTGTGTGCATTGTCGTGTAACCCTCACATTCATTATTCATCACTAGATTTATAGATTTCTTAGCCACTTGTTCTTGGTTACCCTGAGCGCAACTGAAGCCCATTCCTATTTGCAAATAGGACAAGTAACTAACAAAAATGTAAGGGAGCTCTGACCCATAGGGATCAAAACATTCTCCAAAAATGAAAATATTCTGCATCACATCCTTCCTGTTTTTGTGCAAACGTGCCAGAAATAATCCAAACAAATCAAAAGTCGACCTTTAGCTCCGTGTCTTGTTTAAAATAATCCTCCTGCTGTTTGAACGTCAGTCCTGCTGCCTGTTGACGTTATTTCAGTCCTTCTCTCATGTTCCCAGAAAGGATGTTAAATCAATGTTAACTTGATTCAAACCACTCAGTGGACATGGTGGACATGATGTGTTTACCTAATGATGATGATGGTGAGGGTGGGGTAGGGTTATTATTTACTGTAAAGCCTGTTTACTGTAGTTTTTAACTTGTGGATTTGCTGTAGCTCTCAGTTGCTAAGTGATGCTTCCCATCTGTTGAACAATGCAGCCATAATAAGGTCTGCAGTCAGAAATCCAAAAGGGGAACATGAACAAAACAAGGACACTGTAGAAAAGACCATGAATTTTGTTGTTTAAAATCGATTTCTCTCCACTTTTTGTGCTAATTAGTTTAACCTCTGAGTGCACAGCAGTGCTGTAGATAAGGAGTGACACAATGATGGTCCCACATGAGGGCTGGAATCTGTTCTTGGCTTCCACGTCCTTGTTTCTCTAAGGCCTCTCAATAAGTTTGCTTTTATGGCCTGCGATGGAAGAGAAACAGACAATTTTCTGCGTCTCTGTCTCTGTACATTAACGCCTTTTAGCAGTGTGCAGAGTGCTCATTTACTTCATGAATGATAGATGCGGCGTTCAGGGACCATTCCTGCAGAGAAAAGAGATGATCCAAATGGAAAGAAAACATGTTTGAGCACTACAGCAAACCACAGCTGTCCAGTAACCAAATAATTATTAGTTTAAGTCGCAGTACAGGACTGCCGTTGTGGTTGTTGAATTTTACTTTTTGAAGAAGCAGCTTAAGAAGTATGAATAATGGAAAGTATTGTATTTTAATACCTATTCACAAATACTCTCTATATATATAACTTAAAAGGCCTAAAAGTAAACATTTTTAACAATACAACTAAACATTAATGAGCAAACCCACTCTGGAAACTGAGAATAAACTGTTGTTATCAGCCTCAAATATCCCGTATCGGTATAGTTCGGATCATCTTCAGTCTCTTGCACCACTTTGGAAGCTTTTTAAACAAGATGTTCTAGATTGAAAATGAAGCCTGCGGATAAAGTAAGAGCAATGTATTTCCAGTTTGACAATCAGCCCAACCATCAGTCATCAGTAACTGGTGTCTTTGTGAATTAAATGCCTGTTGAGCAAGGTAGACCTCAACGAGGGCGCAGACCCTATGGGATGTTTGACAGGCTCAGTGGGCTCATGACTGTACACACATTCCTGTTGTAAGTTGTGTCCCTGCTGTAATTGTATGTGTGTATGTGGTTATTGTGTAACACCGTCTCACCTGTTCACCGCTCTGATGGATAGAACCTACGCAGTGAGTCATTACTACCCTCTTACTCGCTGCCTGTGAGTCACCGCTGAGGAATTAACCGACCCGCCTCCGGTTTCACTAACAAAATGAGCAGTTCAGTTAATGTGTGTAATTATTGTTATTATCACAATGTTACCCAACAAGGAGAAATACTTGGCGTTCAGGTAATAACAGTGATCTCAACACTGCAGTTTGATTCATGTACAGGAGCCCAGCAGGGACAAAACGGTACTTTATAAATTTAGTGAGTGAATGAACGAGGCAGTGACTTCAGACACAGGCAATTATTATTATTATTATTATTATTATTATTTGTATAATCTAATTTATACTCAAAGTAGTTTAAAGATTAGATTTAAGATCAAGAAAAAGGTAAAGAAAGGCGTTAAAAAGAAAGGAGGACGATACTAGAACTGTAATCCAGATTAACTGTAATCCAGCTGTTAACTATAGTTTTAATCTTAACTGCAACCCAATCTGGATCAACTGTAATCCTAATTAACTTTAATATAAAAGAAACTGCAGTCTCAATTAGATATAACCCAGACTAACTGTAATCCAGACTCACTGTAATCCTGATTAACTGCCTCAATCAACTGTTAACTGTAGTCTTAATCTTAACTAGAACCTAAACCTGATCAACTGTAATCCCAATTAACTTTAATCCCACTCAATTGGTGTCTTAATCCTTACTACAAACCAAGTAATCCTGATCAGTTTTAAACCCAATTAACTGTAATCTTAATTAAATTTGATCCGTTATAACTATAACTCTGATTAACTTTGATCCTGATCAGATGTCATTCTTATCAATTGCTTCTCATTTGTAATCCTAAAAAACTCTAATCCCACTCAACTGTTGTCTTGATCATATGTAATCCTGACAATTAACCTTAATCCAGATAAATGTTCTTCTGAACGACTGTAATCCTGACTGCTGGTTTGTAATAATTTCCTCTGATCAGGTTTCAGTCTCTCAGAGCCGACGTGCTGCTACAAACTCAGAGGGCGTGTTCGTTTTTCAGACCCGCTGAGCTCTGCAATTGTTATGTCGCTCTGCAGGTTTGCTCTGTGCTCGTGTTACGGTGCTGACACGGTGACGCAGGTTTGAATCCTTAAGCTTTTAACTTGGCAGATGTTGAGCTGATAACTCTGTACAGATACTTTTCACTGAATGTTTGTGTGGTCCTTTTTTGACCCACCTGTAACTGTTGGCAACCCCGTTCAAAGGAAAACAACTGCTGTGTATGCGTGTTTGTTTTTCTGGTGATAAAGAAGGTATACAAAAGTACTAAAGCAGCAAATCTCTTCTCCATTTTACAATCCTCATATCCAGTAATTGAAAGGTTTCCTGTTTGTCCCGATCAACCCTAACATTGTGAGAACTGACAGTGAATAACACTGATTATCTGGTTATCATGGCACCTGTCAGTGGGTGGGTTATATCAGACAGCAAGTGAACATTTTGTCCT